GTTTACCAGTTTACAAGCAGAAGAAGTCTCATGCGGGTAAAGCATCAGCAGTGCTACAACACATAAGAAATGTTTTCCAAATTGCATTGTTAATCATTTTTCTTACCATTTTTAATCAGTTTTGTCCATTTTGTTTTTGTAAAGCTGCTTCCGACCACCAACATCCTTAATTTATTATCTTAGGTAAGGCGAGATCTCATACTTATAGTAATTGTGCTTATGCAATGGCAAGGTCATATAAAGCTATAAAGATCAGTACTCTGTATCAGCCGATCACTATGACAAGGAATCGATACTCGGTATCTAGCTACAGCCCCAGCCGGCAACTTTCTGATGTTTTTTTTCCTCTTTTTTTTTTTTTTAAATATTTCTTTCTAATATATTTTTAGCATTACGTGTTAAATAACTACTTCCACCTTTATTTGTTGCTCATACGGGGTTAGACCCCCTTTTCCTGTTTGAGCTGCATTAATAGCTCTATTAATTGTACCTTGAAGAGTTTCAACAACCATACTATTGATTTAGGTATATATTGACACAATAGTATTATGCAGTCACTCTAGATTTATGGGCTGCACATCCATGATGCAAATCTCCTGTTCCAGCACATCCCAAAGGTGCTCTAATAATGGACTGAGAGCTGGTGGAGGCCAATTATATTGAACTATTTGCAGATGATTTGAGCTTTGTGACAGGGCTTCCTGCTGCAAGCATCCATGGCAAGATGGGAACACTGGTCATAAAGGCATGTACATTGTCAGTAACAATACTGTGATGTATGAACAGAAAATTCTGCCATAAAGTTCCATTACACCATTCCGGGTTTTTAATTGAACATCAGATTCTGACTCTGCCATCTTAATGTTACATCACAAATCATCAGATCAGGCAAGTGCGTTGTGTTGTTCTATGACCAATGTCCTCTTTTGTTGCTTATCTGCTTTAACATTCGACATGCTGAATTTTCAGAGATGCTCCTGTGCAAACCTCAGTTGTAACAAGTGATTGTTTGAATTGAAGTTGCCTTTCTATCAACACGAACCACTCTGATCATTCTCATATAACCTCTGCCATCAAAAAGGTGTTTTCACCCACACAACTGGATAGATGTAATGGACTTTTTTTTTGCTGACTATTGTGTAAACCCTGGAGATGATTGAGCGTGAAATCTCCAGTAGATCAGCAGTTTCTTAAATGCTCAGACCAGCCAGTATGACACCAACAATCACAGTGCTTTTTTCACATTATTCACAAATTTTTCTGCTATTCTGATGCTTATGTTTGACAACTCTGATTATTTTGACCATGTTTGACCACAGGCCTAAATGCAAGTTCTGCGAGTTCTGCCATGTGCTTGGTTCAAATATTCTATTAAACCAGAATAGGTGCATCTAATGAAGTTGACGGTGAGTGTGTTTGTTTAACCATTTGTTTTTTTTATTGCCTATTCATTCCCTTCTTCCCTTGTGACCCATTTTCTTTTTTTTCCCAACAGTGAGCAGAGGGTTAACTCTGAAGCCAAGTGGAACAGCTTTTTTCATAACGAGGACACAGGCAGTGGATTGAGAGTGAGGCGGTGAAAGGCTGAACCTTTGAGGCACTGCGGAAAAAACTGTAAGATCCAAAACCTCGCTCTATCACCATGACTTAGGTGGAAAAAATTCACAAACCACAGTTGTTTTAAAGCAGGTGGCAAAAGACCTCAACACACAAATCATGCTGTAGACTCAAGGTTTTGTTTCTTTTGATGCCATTTCCTTGCGCACTTGCAAATGGTATACAGTCGGATTAGTGTGACAAAAGAGATGTGGAGTAGCATCCTCCATTTTATTGTGCTCATGTGTGAGGCAGGCAGTAGCCTGCTTGATTCATCTGTGCATTCTTCTCTTTTTGAATTATTCAGTAATCCTTTCCTACACCCAACCATCCTTCCTCCATCCCTCCCACCTTCCTGTGCATGTAATGTTACTTAACATTTAGAGTTTTGAATGGTAAAATCAACCCTTCCATCTGTGTAGATAGCTACTCCAGCCACATCTGATCATGCTATGGATAATTCTTATGTTGTATTCATAAATTAATCGGTTATAAAAAAAAAATGCTGTTCAATTAAGATGTCATATCAAAGGGATAGTTCACCCAAACGTTTTTTTTTTCCTTTTTAAACATCAATGAAGATATTTAAAAAAAAATTAAATTGTTTTTATCGTTATTTTTTTTTCTAATTGAATTAGTGTACACCATTTTTTTAAAGCTGCATTCTTGTTTAGTTTTGTCTAGAGTAAATGTCAGATTAAAATTATTAATCAAAACAGTTTGGAGGGAAATTTAGTTTTTTGTATTTACTCAAATTTGTTTTGCGACATGCATAGATGGTATCAGGCACATCTATCAAATGTAAATCTGACTACATTTTATTAAATCTGAGAAAAGGTTCTGTGATGAAAGACATTGGAGACTGCTGGGAATCTTTAAGAGTTTGAGTTAAAAAACAGTCAGTTAGTACAGAGATAATAGATGAAAAAGGAAATGTATGGGAGAGTTTTGGAAACACCTGGTGCTATAAAACAAAGTAAATGGTAGGAGTGGTGAAAGCTTGATGGCAACATTGGATGGAAATCTTAAGAGACAAAGTGAAGAGTTTTTAGCTGGAAGTTAATAGCACAATTTAATTAACATTGAAGGACTTCAAAATAAAGAAATACCTTTCCTAGAAATATTTGTCCAGTTAGCGGGAGTTTAGAGACAAAGTGGTAGAGCAACAGACAAGGCTTTGTATTGGAGATTGTTTTGGAAATATCAGGATAAAAATGCACATATGTTGTCTACTGCACCATTAGACTACAAGGTCTCAGCAGCATTAATATTGTTGAGAGACTGTTCTGGCTAAATGGCAATGACAACAAATTTTATAATTTGTCTTACATGTTACAAGTTGCAATGCAATGAATGTCTTGCATGCTATGAATTCAATCTCATATGCACGTATTTCAAACATGTGACAGCACACATTCTATGCTCAATTAACTGAGCTGAAGATAGAGCTGGTTACATAAATGCGTTCCAGTTTACACTTGGTATTGATGAAAGTGTTAGGCACAAATCAGATTTAAAGAATAAAATTGAAAACCTTAATTTAATTTATTTTCTTTGGTGATTTTGTCTTGAAACACAATTGAAATCTGTGCTGTTTCAATGTCATAGTGACATGGAACATTACATCCTACTTTTTGACGTGTTGGTGTTTAGTACACTTTTTTGAGACTGAATGTCCTTCTTTTTCTTTCTTCTTTTCTTTCTTTTCTCAATCCTTCCTGACAGTAGGTGTACTGAATGACTCTTCTATCTGAGCGATTGCATGCTTTTAACAGAGCGATGCATTCATACCTGACAAGTCTTGTCACCTATCCAAGTTTTAGCAACAACAAATAATAACTTGACTTCTTGTTGATCATTTGGTATCAGAAGTAGCTTATAAAGGCAAAGGCCTCTGGATTACACTTATTTTACCAAAATAAAACATAACCATGTCTTGATTTTTAATTTATTAATTAGGTCAGAAAGGTCCGACATTGCTTAGACAAAAGTCTTGTCACTTACCAGAAATAATGTACAGTATAGAATATAAAGTCATGCTGCAGTGGAAAAAGAATTAATATTGTGTACGACTCCCATAAGCTTGCAGGGCTGCATCCATACATCTCTGCAATGACTCAAATAACTTATTAAAGTAATCTGGAATGGCAAAGAAAGCGTTCGTGCAGGACTCCCAGAGTTCATCAGAATGCCTTCTTCTTCATCTTACCCCAGACATGCTCAATAATGCTCATATCTGGTGACCAGGCTGGCCAATCCTGGAACACCTTGACCTTCTTTGCTGTCAGGAACTTTGATGTTAAGCCTGAAGTATGAGAAGGAGTGCTATCCTGCTGAAGAATTTGCCCTCTCCTGTGATTTGTAATGTAATGTGCAGCACAAATGTCTTGATACCTCAGGCTGTCAATGTTACTATACACTCCACAGCTCTTTCACACATCCCCATACTGAACTTTATTTTTTTTTCTCACCAAACTTGACTGAGAATCTTAGGTTCATGCGGTTTCCAATAGGTCTTCTGCAGTATTTGTGATGATTGGGATGCAATCTATGTAGACTTGAGTCTGTACAAATAAACATGTTCATATGTATTTTTTATAATAATAATTCAATTAGCTGTGCATTTTTTGGTGCATTTAATCACAGCATTTGTACCTATTAAGGATCCTTAAGTAAGCATATAAGATGTGCCTTATTGTAGAAAAACTGATTTTACTCATTTGTTTTACCTTGATTTTGTAAAAAAGCTTCCATGGAGAATAGTTTTTTTCCCACCCAATGTTTTGGTTTTAATTAGAGCTCACTAAGCATTATCTGCATTTCTCACCAGGCATATTTTCTATCTTGCCTTTCCAAAGTTATTAAGTGGTTCACTCCTCTTCAGATGAATTTACAGCTTGTGATTTCTGTCTTAACAGTTGTCTCTTTCAGCAGAGCTGAAGTTTCTTGTCCTGCCCATTTCAAAAGGCGCGTTTGCTCATAAAGCCGCTATTGCTGTTTTCCTCTGCCAGCTTCACCCTATGCTGCAGTTTTCTTTCTTTTGTCTCGCACATAATGAATTTAGCCCGAGTTCACATTATTGCTTTGTGCAGAACGTGTAGCCTGATGTATTTTTCATTTCATCTCTTCTCTTCTTTCATGCCATCATCAGAAACCGCCATAGTCTGTCAAAGGCATCTTCTACTCAGCCAAGAGTCTAGAACTCCTCACAACATCAAAGAAAGCTGGAGAGAAAGGGAGCGGGTAGGAGGGGTCTTCTGCCTTGTATCTAGGTTCTGATGGAGAAGACGACGGAGGAGAGGGGGAGGGGCAAAAGTGATTGAGAGAGAGAGAAAGAGAGAGAGAGAGAGAGAGAAAGGTAGGTATGGAGGGAGGGAAACAAGAGGATGAGAGAGGATTGCAGCCAACCAACCAGCTGAAAGAGAACGAGCGATCAGGGCTGTTTGAACGTGGCAGGGAGAAAAGGAGGGAGGAGGGAGAGAGCGTGAGAGAGAGAGAAAGAGAGAGAGGGTGAAATCGATTGTCAGAACCAAGGAAATAGAAGTGTTACTATTGCACGGCCACTGGAACGGTGTCTGCCAGCTGAGGATATGCATTGGCTCCCAGCGCTCACCGGCTCACGGGACACACTCTAAAATGTAATTTCCAAAGGCCTAATTGTTGCCGCGGTGATTTTATTTTCCTCCATTTCATTTTTCTTTCTTTTTTGGTTTATTTGCCCTCTCTCCTCTTCTCTTTTCGCCGTTATTGTGTGTTTTTTTTTAATCGCCTGCTGCTGCTTTTTTTTTTTTAGCCAGCTGCTGGATTTTCCCCTTCTTTTATAACTGCTATCATTCTCTCCATTTACAAAGGAGGGATCTACAAATAAAGGCAACCACAGCAAGACAGTAAGTGGGGCTTATTTCTCTTGACGCCTGTGCCGGGGGGAATGCATGGAACAGGAGGCTGGTGAAACTGTGCGGAGGACGAGGGATGAATGGATCTGGGTTTTAAGAGTACATGCTGGCTGGTGATTTGCCATTCAAAGTTGAGCCATTCACATCTTTCACAATTAGCTATTGGGAAACTGAGGTAGCCCCTGCATGTGCTGTATCTGCTGTAAAGAGTGAATGATGCGAGTAGGTTGGTGTTGCTTATTAGATGTATATTGGTTGCAGCGTGTGTATCATACAGGGAATTCAGCTCATCCATTAAAGATGCTGAGGTTTCATTTAAAACAGGAGGTGCATGAAGCACAGCAAGAATAGATTCACACTGCATCTGCAGATAGTAAGTTTTTTTGATGTTTTACATGAGAGCTTGGCAACGAAATAGATCCTTATGATAAAAATGGCAAGTGCACTATGCAAATTGGTTCTTTGTGCAGAGTATATTGTGCTCTTCTCCTCTGTTTTTTAAAGAGAAGCCTCATATGCAGTATCCTGTCACTCCCTGAAACACACCCACCCACATACATTGGCATGCAAGCAGACTTACTCACCCAGCAGTGCTAACGGACTGATCTGCAAGCGTGGCAGCTCTTGTATGACTGCTGCTCTTAAATGGCACATCGGTTTTCTTTCCTGTTCACTGCATTTTGTTCTTTCTCGCCAGCATATGCAATGCATGATGCAATTTGCTGTTAAAGCAGTAGTCACCCAAAAGGAAATTCCTGTCATTGATTATTCACTCACATCGTTGTTTCAAAATTTTTGTTACTTTTTAAAAATTTTGTGGGAAACAAAGGGAGAATTATTAAATATTATCCCTGTTGTCTTAAAGTGTATCACACATTTAGTCTGTTTCTGCACTGTATCAAGCCATAAAATAGCTTTTTGTGTCAGATCCAAAATTTAAGTGATTATTCACTGATAATCTTGTTCACAAATCGTTCTGCCAAGATTTTGTAAAGCTTATATTAACTGATTACTCAAAGTCAATTGTTGCACAAATTCCTAAAAATGTCGAGACCAAACGTCATATTCTCACGCCTTAAAAAGGGATCGAATTCCCAATTGAATTTACTCACCCTCTGGTCCTCAATGTGTTGGTGACTTTTGGTTAACGAGAAGATAAACCCTGTCCTATGATGGTTCATAAAATGCAAGTCAATTGCTACCAATACTTTGTGAGTCAAAAAACAACAACAACCCCCTCTTCCCCAAAACAAAGAAAAAATATATACAGGCAAAACAAAAATAACTTAGACTATACATTAAGGTCTTATGAAAAAGATCAGCCTGTTTCGTGTAATGCGAGTTCAGACTCCATGATTTTAGTCCAGATTTTGACTCGCTGACAGGTTTTGAGAAATCGGTGCTCGTTCACGTGAGTAGCAGTCACAGAGTGTGAACTGTCCAAGAAGCGATCTGACTGTTTCGCAGATGGGTCACTGACACCTGAGATATTTGGCATGCTAAATATATGGAGCTGTCAGCAATTCAAATCATGCTGTGTGAAATGTGTTCTGATTGAAAACAACATTGGCGATTACCTACAGCCAGTGAGAGAGCAGCATCCACTAGTATGGGTATCTGCAGGCCAGCAGGAGGTTGGGGGAGAAGTTAAAAACGCTGATTTTCAGTTTATTTGGACCCAAGAAAAGGATGAAAAACTAGTGTAAATTTGGCAGGAGCACCGTGTCTGTTTGACGTGTCATCTGAGCAATATCACAACTGGCTCGAAAATGAATAAAGTTTGAGAGAAATTGCTAATTCCATTCAAAAGCCAGGCGAGCAAAATAAGTACATAAGTCTACCCCACTAAGGGCTTCTTTTTCATTATGTAGTTAATAACAAAAGATATTCATCTTTTGTTATTATCATCCTCATGTTGTTTCATTGCCTCTTCTCGTGTGTCTTTGGTTGTAAGACGTAGTTTGGACAAAGTTGATGTTGATTCTTTTTATTGTAAAGTCATGCCCTGTGGCCGATCTATCTTACAGTGTAAACGAAGCACAGACGGAACGTTAGCCCAGATAGTCATGCAGTGTGAAAACATCTGTGACTCGATTACTTTGAAAATTTTGCAGACTAAACTCGGCATAAGTGACACACTCTCTCCTCTTCGTATGCACAAGACACTTTTTTACTCCATGATTTGTGCAATTCTGAGTGTGCTTCATGCTGGTGACTGGGCTTAACGGACCACTTGCACTAGCACATTTCTAAACATAATAGTTTTAATAACTCATTTCTGACAACTGGTTTATTTTATCTTTGCCATGATGACAGTAAATAATATTTGACTAGATATTTTTCAAGACATTACAGCTTAAAGTGACATTAAAATGCTAATAACATTGACCTTAAAATGTTTTAAAAAAAATTTAAAACTGCTTTTATTCTAGCCAAAATAAAATTCTCCAAAAGAAATAATATCATTAAACATACTGTGAAAATTTCCTTGCACCGTAAAACATCATTTGGGAAATATTTAAAAAAAGAAAAGAAAAAAAAGCAAAGGGGGTTTAATAATTCTGATTGCAACTCTAAATCCATTATGACAAATATGCAGATGCAAATGTGCATAGGCTGACACTTGCAAAATTGTAGAAGGATTGCAGCATGCAGAAGAATCACAAGTACCATTCTGATGAGCAAAACAACACACATTTTTTTATCCATTTCAGTTTGTTTGTATGTTTGTTTTTCTGCTTTCATAGAGCCAGTATTTGTTTACTTGCATTTTTTTAATTACTAAGGCCAGGGTTTCAGCCCAAAATAATCTTTAATCATTTACTGAACAAGTTGCCTACATAAGATGGCCTAATGATGGCTATAACAGCCCATTTCTTTTCAATTCCCATATTCTGAAGCATGATGTTTACAATTTCATATGCAGACTATTGCTCTTGAATCAGGTGGACCACTTTCATAATGCGTCTGTGATCTTTTTGACTTTTAAAAGCTTTATAATCCATTAAATAAAAATTAACATGAGATGATTTAAAAAATCCGTCTTGCATCAAAGAACATGCAAGTGCAATTACTTTAAAAACAGTGTGAGGATTGGAAAATGACGGCAGTTTCCATTTTATGCTAACTTTGCTTTCTACTATGTTTATTTGCTACATGCTATTTACCAGTTTAATATGTAGTACAAATCTTATAAGTAGATTACGTACTTTTCAAGCAATTCCAGTAATCACACCTTTTGCTACAGGTTGTTCTCCGCCCCCACACACACACATACACACTGTTGCTCAGACAACCCACTGAATGCCCCTTAAGCAGACAGAAAACTCCTCTTCTCTTGGCTTGTAAGTGTCACAAGTGAATGGTGCCACTGGAAACGTCTCTTTTACTTAGATCTTAAGAAATCTTGAGGCACCAGCAGTGTATGTGCATGTGCTGTTACACAGGACTGTGTGTTGATTTAGTTAGGGACTGTCCTCTGCCATTATCTGCTGAATCTATTATTAGAAGGCTTTATTTCTTGTGTATATCCTCCTCTAAACCCAGAAGAAGAAAATTGTTGCAGGTCGTTGTTGTGGTCACCCGTAATTACATGATATATGTATTTCTAGCTGGTTATTGAGAGAGAGAGAAACGTGGGGGAGGGAAAAATAAGTAATGAATCCAAAGACAAAAGAAGCTTTGTGTTTAATTATTTCCTCCAGCTGGTAAAAATGTGGTGCATGACAGTATAAAGGGCATTTTTGGAAAAAAGTTAATTTAGATTGGATTATTTTATTGTCTTGCTTTACAGTACAATAATAAAAACAACAGTACATTTATAGAGAAAGCTTAGGGCTTTATTTTAACGATCTAGGTGCAAACTCTAAAACGCATGACGCAAAAGCATTAAGGGTGTGTCTGAATCCACTTGCAATTGCAATTCTAAGGATAGCGCATTGTCTAACAGGGTTGTGCTTATTCTCTTAATGAGTTATGGGTGTGTTTTGAGCATAATGTGCATTACATCATTCAAAGTCTAATCTCCCATTCCCTTTTAGAGTCAGTCGGGTCATGCCATGGTGCATTTGCTATTTACATGGTGAACTTTGTAAGTGGGAAAAACTCAATGCTTTACTAGTGAGAAAAATGCTAAAAATACCATCTGCAGTGAGAGGATAAAGAACACACCTGCTCCATTTGGCCTCTACTTTCTCTTTACTTTATTTTTACTCTTTACTTTACTCCCTTACTTTTTTGGATAAGGTAACGGTGTTGTATGCACTCCAATGAAGACATCCATTAGTCTAAATATTTAATTTGGTTTGTTAAGCACAAAGATTTATTTTAAGAATATTTCTAAATTCAGTACTAATTTCAAGCAAAGTTAAAAATGTACAAAAATAACGAAGTGTGGTCAAAACAGAACAGTTATATCCAAACACACGTCCTATTCGTATGCCCTATATGGTCAAAAACCCAACAGGTAGACCAAAACGAAACTATTTTTTATTAAAACAAATATAAACATGCATATAATAAATAATACTGCTAATAATAATAATAAAATTATACAAAAGCAATCTGTCATGAATAAACTGAAAAAAGTTCTCCCGAGATGGAGGCAGTGGTTTTTATATCTATGCAGTAAATAATAATTTTTGTAAAATTTAAAATCTTTAATTTTTTTTAAATGTAAAGATATTTGTGTATTGCTTTACATCTTGTGTGTATAAATCAATGTGTAGGCATTTGGACGCATAGGCGCACAACTAACGCACTCTGCTGGACTTTAGACCAGCTTTCAGTTGGTCAACAGCATGGTCTATTTCAGTTCCTCAAAATAGCAACTCTCCAACAATGTGCCTTAACACACCTCCTTTCTAAACCAGCACAATCATGAGTCCAAAAGTTGCGAAAATGGATTTGCTATTTAAACAACGTGGTGCAAAACATGAAAATTAGGGTTGCACTGGTCTCAAAATATCAACAAAACCCATCTTGCGCCTTTT